GCCAGAAGCAGTACCCATCAAAGATAGTACTGCTGAAACAGTGGCCCGCGCCTTCGTCGAGAGGTGGGTAGCGAACTTCGGCTGCCCAACAACCATTACTGCAGATCGTGGACGTCAGTTTGAATCTGAACTGTTCCGTTGTCTGACTGCAAAATTAGGAATCACTCGCTTCCGAACAAGCGCCTACCACCCACAAGCAAACGGGTTAGTAGAACGTTTTCACCGACAACTAAAAGCGTCACTATCAGCCTCAAACATTTCTCAGTGGACTGACGCTCTTCCACTCGTCTTACTAGGCATACGCAATGCAGTGAAATCTGACATTGGATACACTGCATCTCAACTCGTTTATGGTACGACCCTTCGACTTCCAGGAGAGTTCGTGGACCCTTCATCCTCTTCGATGGACATGGATCTAACCTCCTACGCAAACAGGCTTACAAACGCAATGCGTTTAGTTAAACCTGTTTCCACTCGACCACAATCGACTGATGTTTTCGTTCAACCTGACTTACTACATAGTACACACGTTTTCGTGCGTTGAGACTCGCATCGACGACCTCTCGAATCAACATACGAAGGACCTTTCAAAGTTCTTCAACGCGAATCGATAAGAACGGAACCAAAGAAAGCATCAGTATCGATCGCCTCAAAGCAGCGTATTTAGAAGGAAATCCTATTCACGTCGATTTTCCTTCAATACAATCGCACGACACAACTCCTGCACTTATAATACCTCAATCGACAGCAGACACACACGTTGATACTTCGACAGCATCCGAAAATAAACTCAAAACAACGCGTTCTGGAAGAAGATTAAGATTTCCAGAACACTTGAACGATTACTTCACGTAAGACACAAGTTAACATCTTAAATCCTCACGATTTTCCCTGGTACTATATATATTTTTTTATAAAAAAAAACCGAATTTAATATGCTTATATATTTTTACTATTTTTTTATTTCAAAAAAGAAATAACAATAAGATAACGATATTATAAAAATCCTTTTTTACGCTATTACGTGAGCATGAGTTTGTTTTCCTTTTTTTCGCCCGTTTTGTGTTTTCACGCGCGTACGAGTGTATTCCGACATGCACTTACATATTTTTCTTTTCCAGGACGACTGGAAAAGACGACGAAAAGAACGATGAAGTTGCGAGAAACTAAAATCTGCATCGTACCTTTTTTATACTATATTGTACATCATGGTCCATTATAGTAAGGAAAGACGACCAGACGCTGCTAAACCTAGCAAGCTATCAGAAGAGTGTTTACCAACGAAAAACTCGTTGGGTTTAAACTTCTGGCTGGCCACGTCTTAGGGTCATCACTACCCCACTAGGGGGGAGTGATCTGTAGCGGCAAATAATTCCCCAATATCAAATAGCTCTGTAAGTTTTCGACATTGGATGCTGACAACAGTTTTAGTGTACTCATCTAGCTGAAGGCGCTCGGTCAAGCATCCGCACCAGATCACGTGTGGGAACGCTGTGCTCAACATCTGCCGCAGTCGCTAGCCAGATTAGTGCAAACGATCCTCGATATATTGATAGCTTACCAAATATATCTTCGATCTCCTCCCTTCTGTCTTTTGATTTTACTTGATGGGTGCGCTTCGTATTATAAGGTGTTACTGGTTAAAGCGTTGTCAAACTCCGAATACCTGTGGCATCTTCAAGGTCAGCATTATTACTAAAGACTTGAGAAACCATTGATTTTGGAATTTTATTTGCGGCTACAGGTGTTTGCCACCTCGTCGATATTGAAATAGGAACTAGCGCTATTCATGCGAAATCAAACTATTGCGTACAAAAGTTTGTACTCGATCTCCAGTCTGTGAGCGGAAAACCGACCATCATATGCAGTAAAAGAATTTTTTATTTGAAGGCGACTTCGCGCAAATCCATCAACTGAGTTTCTGTTTTAGAGGATGCTTCAGCGCATATGCTTGTTATAGATCTGATAGAACATCACAAAGTTATCATCATTCCAAAAAAATGAATGATAGTGGACTGGCACATTGAATTTTAAGGTACACCATTTTCTGTTTCTACATTGTTGCCGGCTCAGATTTAAACATACTGTCAACTCACACTTGCAACGGATACTAAAGTGGTATTCAGAACTATGCAAACTGTTGCCAAAAATGCAATATGTAACCAGCGACGTTGCTTACCACATCACAGCTATTGGCAACCATTTACAACTTTTAATACATCATTCAAAAATATTACAGCATAAAATTTCACTGCACTAATGATTTAGTTTTATTGATTCGTCCTTAAGGAATGTATTACCAATTATGGCTATTCGGTTTTTACAAACATGGTTATTAATTTGTTTATTTATTTCATTTTTTCCTTCAAATTCAACCCAACATTATTCATAATTCTACAGAATCTTCTTAAATATAGGGAAGATTGTAAGAACAATTTTGATGCTGGTGTATAATCGCATCACCATAGAAGCTCAGAAATGGTTTAATTACAAGAATTATGTAACAATAAGCTGTCTGTGATAAATTACAATGATAACTACAGGATCACCTGCAAATTTTACACTACGCTAACTGAATTCTAAAGACTTGAAATGAAAAAAAACAAATTCGAATAGATGTTGAGCTTGGAAGTTGTCCTGAATTCAAACCCTAACTCTTTGAAACGTTCACGACTTAACGGCTGACTTGAAAAGTATGGTTGACTTGTAGTGGCGACGATGCAATGAGTTGATGTAGAGAATGATATGACTTCCATGTATGATCTTATAGATTAGGCAGTTATATCATACAAATATACGATTTCGGGATTAGATCTATTATTAGAGCAGTACTAACGTCATAGTAGACCATAATTCTATAATCTTTCCACTAGCCTTCATTGAGGTAAATAACTGTCAATAGAGATAGGGCGTTGAACCATTTGTCTCGTATGGTTCTGTGAAAATTTCGCCTCCTGGCGCCATTATCACCAGATTGTGACCTCGTTCGTGATTGAAAATCCGAGTCGGGGATAATATATCTAACGAAAGTATGAAGACATTTATTTTTATTGTTTAGAGAGCTGTAATTGACATCGTATCAGTGTTGTTGTGTCACTGAATGAACTTGCTGTAAATGCCAAATAAACGGATCCTAGTGCGCTTCTTTGTTCACTATTTCTGTTTTTGCAGTTGGAGATAGTTAAATACATCCTATTTATTTCACTATAAAAACGTCGACTGCCAAGATAACCATATTCTGATCTCTAACGACGACCTTATTTGGACTTCCATTATCACCTGTGTGCCTTTGGGATCAAGAAATATGGCGTCAACATGTAAACGAAACATCGGTCAGGTCTTCAAATGTTTCCAATTTGTGCATGCTCACGTCTCATCTCCGGCATCTGAACTTTGTTCTTCAATGAATCAAAAAACATGGGACTACTAGTAATATCAGAATGGAGCAACACATGAGGACTTTTTGGTCAAACCACTGTCGCTGAATGTTTCTACTCCTTGAAGAACAAAATGGGGCTGTAGTGTACGTCGACCCAAGTAATATGCAGCACCAAATCGAAGTGGGATGCCTGGAAGCAGAGGGTTGGGAAGATCGATTTGAACAGAACGTAAATGTATGCAGAAGGTTGTTGTAATAGTAATGAGGGAACGACGGAGTTTGAGAGAACTGATGGGAGATTTTCAGATCAAGTGTTTAGTTTATGGTTTTGATATTTTACTGAAGAACTTTGTAACTTTGCGTTGAGTAATAAATTGGTTGTCCTTATGAGAGTGTTTCTCCACAACAGTGGCAATTCTGAGTTGCGAAGGGTCGACCTCCATCAGGCAACTATGAAGCTTTAACGAATTGGTAAGTTTTTATGAGTGGCTCCTACCGAAATTTGAGGTGTCTATGTGGTTATTAAGAGATCAACTTGGTATGCGAGCAGGGACAATCGAATTGGACGAGAGTGTGATGAAAGCACCGACCACAGTATAGAATAACATCGTCAAGTAAACAGTACTCATCACGAAACCACGGATTCGTTAGCATCGTTTCAGACTTGCCTGACTCAGAAGCCGGAATATTCTAGTGATAAGCATATGGGACTTGACAATTTTCGAGATGTTCGAGATAATTGTAAGCCGCTGGACTGATATATGGCACTTTGTTAGGAAGCTTTTAGCTATGTAGTGTTTTATAGGACACTCTTTAGAGTCACGACAGTTCTATATCATTATCAGCCATGAAAGACTGATTTCTTATAAACTCGCTTTTTGATAGGTATGGTTCTTGAAAATTACACCAATTAGACCACATCTTGCAGTCAAACTCAAATTTGTCACATATCTAAAGGGCAAAAGATCTATTTGGGGAAGTTTGGTAAGTAATAAGTCCGTCAGAAACATTCCGGGGAATCAGCGTGTCGTCGATATGAACTAACTTCAACAATCCTAAAGTTTCAGGTCAAACAGATAAAAGGAGATAAGAAAACATTATTATGTGACACATCTGCCTGTAGGAATCCTCCAATCATGTCCTGAGATTGTCGTCACAATGTCTTCAATATGCTGCCAAACTTTCACATCAAGGTTCTGGAGCAACAATCAGGCTCACAACAGGATGATTTTTATGGTCTGGTATGAAGAAAAAGCCACGATATGGGCACCATTCTATCTTAACTGCCAGAAATTTGTAAATTGATGTAGTCCTTTAGGCCCTTTCAGCAGTTCGATTATCAGTTTGATCGCTTTCATTTCGATTTGATGGGCTTGTAATGGCACTGTATTCTAACCACACATCATGACAAATCTACATTTTTAGGATTAGGTCTGTTATTAGAGCAGTACTAATAACGAATTAGACCGTATATGTACATTTTAAGTACAGTAAATCATCCAGTAAAACAGTTAAGCTTTCCTAGATTATTTTTCAAAGTTAGATTCAGTATTCTACGCAAAATGAAGTTGCGCTGACGACATTGAGGGAAGTTTTGTTTCTCTATACTATTCTGTTATAACTTGCGTGTGCATGTAAAACAGATCTGTAGGTCATTGGTAGGTCATTTCGTGAGCAGATGATAACAACTAGTTGCTAATAAATTACTCATCAATTACTCTTCTTCCTTAACGAAAGTTTGTTGTAAGTCAGAGTAAACCTTTGATTTTTCTTCTTCATTGCTTTAAGCATATTTTGTATTCGTAACTTATCAATTGATTGTTACAAATTTTTCTGATATAGGACTTGAAGGGATTGATTTTTTGAAATGCAAAGCAATCTGAATTGGTTATTTTATCGCCTATGCAGATATGGTAGTTTCCTCACAGTATTGCATAACGTATATGATTATATTTCATGCCATATTGAGCTCTATTATATATTTTTGCAGTATAATTTTCATCTTTCATATATATCGAATTTTTCAGAAACTAAATTATGGTCGTTATAGCACGAGAGTTTTTTTGTTCAAAGTTCAGCCGTCTTCATTTCCCTGTTTTCGCCGCTTTCTGGTCTAATGTGACCATTCCTTAGTGACCGTAGATAAAGTAATCATCCACTATCTTACGAGATCAAACCCTGTTCTTAAACGTATTATCTAGACATCTGAGTAATAGGTCTGTCATAGAGAGTCGTGTTCATCAATTTATACTTGGTTACTTAGTAGCACTTAAGTGTTCCATTAAAAAGTCAATTATTCATTGAAAATTGTCACTATTTTTTCCCGGAATAGGTAGCGCAAAAGATTCCAAGTTCCTATTCGGATCTTCTGAAAGCATTCCACCGAGGCAGCATATTGGTAAAAGATGAAACATCATACTTATCTTTGGTTTCAAGTTAATCTTAGTCAAAAAACATTTATAATCGCATAGAAAAAATTGATGAACTCAGTATTTTTAGTTAGATTACAATTATGCCAGATAAAAAATAGCTGTGTGAGACACTTATGCTTTGCAACTTTAATATTTAGTAACCTAAGTGTTATTGACTCTGTAAAATATTTATTATTATAAAATGTGGATTTTTTTTGAGGTACTACATTTGGTATGATTGCACTATGAGGTTAAATCATCGTATAAACTTCGCAAACTGAGCCTTTAAGTGTACAAACCTAAGCCTAGCTGACGAATTGTAACGCATAATAACAAGGCAATCATTTTTTCACTGGTAGTTGTGCAAATAAGGGATAAAAATGTCATTTGATAACCCTACACAAATTAGTTCACTATAATTTTAACAACAAATATGATCAAAAATATGCTGTCTATATACCTAAACCTGCGCCTAACGATGATTTGTTGATTACCATAGATTTATCTAAACTGACAAGTGGAAGGTAACAATTCAAAACTGTGCTTATGCTAGCCTCAAAAACTACCATTGATTAATTAAAAGAAGACACCATCCTTAGTATCTCAGCTTTATTTCTAGTTATCAATCCACCTGTAGTTATTACTTTACTGGGAGGTTGAATTTTTAATGATATACTTAAGAGCTAACTTAGTTCATTCTGAAAGACTTTAACTTGATCTACATTTTATAAAATCATCGGATGCATTTATTCAAGTGTAAGTTGTATTTTATGAACAATTAGTACTCAGATCTTTTCTTTGTTACTTTCATACTATTAGTTAATTTCAGATGAATGGCTTACCACAGTTGTTGTAACAACAACTTTGGCTTGCGTTTTGTTGATAGAACTGATAACTCTGTAAATTAGTCTTATTTTCAACGGTATTTAGTTGGTGTCAATAAGTATAGCTGTTAAACCGTTTTTATAAATAACTGCATCTCAGCTCACTGTATCTAGAGTTAAGTGCCCGGAAACAGTGTACAAAAGTTCTGAGCTATATTTTCGTGTTTGTTGACCTTTTCTATGATGAGTATGTGCTTGTTGGAGTTTAACCAAAGGTGCATGTTCTTCATTATATAACTTAGCTAATATTTTGTGAACACCGCTACAGTCTCACAAGGGATTCATTATTTAAGTATCTGATTTTCATACAACGCATTGAAATCTTTGAATTAACGGAATAATTGTATGTACTTCTAATTAGTGAAACGAATCGCTAATGGTTCAATGGTAGGGAAGTATTTAGTTTGTGGAAAGGTGTGATTTATTTTATAATTCAAAATCGCAATTCTTTGCATTCATTATTCTTTTGCGATGCTTTCATTTTTTATTACTATTAGTTTCCCTTTTCCTGTTAATCAAAGAGATGTAACACCTGGAAGAGATGTACTAAAATTTTAGATCCCATTTTGTTAGACTTTTATAAAAATTTAGTTTATTGGGCAATAAACGAGGTCAATCAGTGTTATTTGGTTTGTTAATCTTGTATTAGCCAAGAATTTGGATTCATTACTATTAATTTGGTTTTAGACGTTGAAAACGACCTTATTTTTTGAAAGTTGTTAAATCTTTTAGCTAACGTTTTTTCAATTTAAAACGTTTCATATATATATATATGTATTCAGTTGACAACACACTTCCTGAACTCGATAGTATGTGGTTCGACTCCGCATGTTTACAGGTTGACAAAAATTGATGTTATTGATGAAATCAAAAGGAAATACTCTTTTATCAGTATTTGATAATAGAAATTTTGTATATCACTTCAGTAGTTTGACAAATAAGCTTGTAAACACTGTTTTTATTATTTATTGCATGATTATTATCATCATTATTTTCTACTAATATTTGTAACAACATAAATAATTACACTTGACTGAAATTACAAAAAGTGGTTCATAAAAACTTGTTTTGTATGACGAATAGGCAAAGGGTAACGGTTTCAAAGGGATTATTAGTTATGATATTATTGTATTGTTATTATTGTTATTCACTGTACATTTTCTGAAAGCCGGGTCAATTTAAAATGGGAACCAAAAATAAGCATGACAAGTAGTTAATCTAGGAATATGTGCAACATTATAATAAAACTAGTTAAAGTACATACGAACCATTTTCTTGATCATTTCAAATGTATATACGATAAGTAAGTGGAATTAAATTTTGCTCCTTAGTAATCACATAATTTTGCGGATGAAGTCCAGCACTGAATACAGTAACTAGGAATCCTTAGTTCTGGGTTTTGCAACTCAGCGACGAGGATTTTCGAGGTTTGCTTGCTCTTCTGAAACCTAAGTTTATGCAAAACTCGTATAATTCACTGATAAACTGGCGTGAAGCAGCTTTTTTAAGTAGTGTGTTGTGTACAAAAACTAACTACTTATCAAACTTTTCTATCCAAAAATGTAATGAAAGTTATTGAAATGGGTAAAATGGTAACAATGCACTTCGTTTAGCACTCGATAAGTGGAGGTTGGCTGCATCATAACGCATAATCACACACTTATGGAATTTAGCCATTTTGAGGATTTTCCATAAAAATATAATGCCGGACGTAATCCAGAGCTGCAATATGTCACTTATTATAGTATTTACAGCCTATTTGATCGATAGGCCTTAAGTAATCGTAAGTATAGTGACGTTTAATTGGATATTTTTACAGATTCAGTTGGTTTATGTTTCTGTGTTTATTGAGATATATGCCACCTATATTTTTAGTATTTTATTTCGATGTACAAATAACCTTAATACAGTTGAGTTGTCACTGAGTAGAGGGCGGTATAATGTTTGTCTAGTCCTTTTAATGCTGTTCAAACTCTATGGGTCAAGTTGTATCGTGATCACTAGTATGAGTGACTCGACATCACATGGACTATGTTGAGATGTTAGGTAAGGTTTCAGACCGTGAGGCTGGGTGACACGGGGTCGAACATTTCAAGAAGCACATTCTCTTTCAATATTACATGAAAATTTTGCTGACGAATGTCAATCAGCACGAGACCTAAGTCCAGGGTTTCCTGTTGAATACCTTTAACAACCTAAAAAGCTTAACACAGTTAAATAAATGAAGACAGTTAATGAAAATAAACAGTCTATTGATTTTTAATTATTTTTATTATCGTCGTCACCATTGTTATCACAATCGTTATTGAATGCAGTCACTATGTTTGCTATGAAAAAATATGGCCCAATTGTCAATAAATTTTATAGTGACGATTTTTATCACGATGATGAAATTTATAAGGAGATGATTAACAATTATTGGTTAAATGGGGAATGAATTAAAACAGTATAGAAATTATCAGACTTAAGTAGTTGCTTTTCAGATATTTGTGTTAGAAACTTATAAGATAACTGGCACGGATTATTAATAAGTGCATCGTGGAAAGCAATCTTATACCCTTGATATTCATGTGATTTTTTGCAAGAAACGTTCAGATAATTATTCTGTATCCTATATCTATTTGATCAGTCTCGTTGAGTAGATAAATTAGATATCTAGAAATAATTTAACCAATTAATTTTGATCAACAAATCGTTATCAAAACTTTATCACTGTAAACAAATCATTTTCAACCTAAAATATGTTATTTAATTATTCTTGTAAATGTATCGTCTTATTTTAGTATGATAATTATTTTTCAGAAATTTAAAACAGTTAGTTGCTTCTATAAATCTCGATCGAACAATGAGATTAGATCAACTCTATCTTCTCATTGTTCTATCGAAATTTATGATAACAATGGTTGATTCGTTTCCGTTATTTGGTCAATGTCCAGATCGTTAAATCATGGATCCCAAATTAGTCTTGATTGTATATGTGATAACTGAAGAAAATATTGATAATTACATTGTATACTTTCGTATCTGTGTTGGTGAAGTAAATACATATAAAACTGTGTTTGGGACTTACCTGATGAATTGTAAATTTTTAAAAATTAGATGATGTGAATTTAATTGATACATTTATCCGACTACGAGAAGCGAAGCAGATTTTTATAGCAATCTATTAATTCATTACTAATAAGCTGTCGATATAATGTCTTTCAAAGACTCATGTCATGAGTTGACTTATGTGACTTCTTGTTTGTGATCGCCTGATTTAAAAATTTTTAAAAATTGACTCATTTACCAGATACCTAAGTATGAACTACGTTCTAATTAAGAAGGGTAATGATAATATTCGGTTGCTAAAACCGATCATGTCAATCATGTCCTAATGTTTCTTCATCGAGTTTAACTTTTTAAAGTGTTCTGGTCTAAAAAATTAATGAACATTTCAGTTTCACTAAAAGCATTCAGGGTATAGGTATGAATTATTAAAAATTAAAAATTTTTGCTGATTTTGGATAATCTAGCTTTAATTCAATGGAGAAAAAGGATACTTTTATAAGCAACTATTTTCCTACACCCACATTTATGATGCCATATGACGAACATTCGATTCATAGTTTTATGAAAGTTTGCATCAGTGGAAATCTTCGGCATTCCTACTTTAGATATGTTGTTTACCAAGTACTAGTTGAAACCATACTCATATTTGGAGTTCAACTAAGTAACTAACATTGCCTGCATAGGTTGTATTTCATTTTTCATTGGGAAAAGTTGGGATTGAGTCTTTCCATGTCAAAGTGGTATATATTACTAAATTTACGTTGTCTGTTTTGTGTTTTGGGTGGGTAGGTTCAAAATATTTTCAGTGTGATTCGGTATTGAAATGATATTTACAGTGAATGCTTCTTGGGAGTTTATACCCACTTAATTCTTTTTTTCAACCATCGTTATGAATGACTTATCTTTTATCAGTTTCTATTCTCATGACTTTATTATTTTTGCGTTTTTCTTCCCTTTTTTTACTTCTTTTTTGCCACGATTCATACTATTACCTTCTGTAGAGTTCTTGATATTTATAGTATTACATCACAACAAAAAGCTTTACTATTTCGGTTGTATTTAGAAGCTGGATTACGCCAGTATTGTGTAGCGACCTTTAATATTATTTTCACATGTTTGTCCTTCTATTTTAATAATTTTGTTTCATTACTTCGGTGTGTAAAATATAATTTTGAACGAATAAATGAATGATTATATTTCTAAATTCCGTTCCAGATCTTACGAGCATCGTGTCTGTATGTTCGACAGTAATTATAATTCTTATGTGGAAAAGTAATTGTATTAAGTAGTTAATGGAGATGTCAGTAACTTCGTACAAATTATGTTTTATCATCAATTCCAGGTTTATAAATCAACAACAGACACGACTTATATTATTCAAGGCAAAAATAATGAGGCTTCAAATGAATGGTTATAACTCTTAATAATAATAATAACAAAAATTTTGAATACTGAATGCGTAGAAGTTTTTAAGGGCCGTTGTCTCTTACAATAAAATGTACCTAAAGTGATTGCTAACTTAATGATTCGAATTCAGAACATTTGTCTGTAGGCATCAATACCAAGATTGGACTTGAAAGTTTTAAATAAATTGAGAATTGGGCAGAAAGTAATTAATAAATGTATTTTTCGTTATGTCCGAATGAGTAGAAAAACTGTATTTCTACATTTTGTGACTAAATATAAGCCACTTCTGCTCAGCTGTTTGGTCGAGAGAGTCCATGTTAAACTATTCAGAATGTGAATAGTTGTAAAAAAGGATTAAACACCAATTTAAGGAATCAGCCTTTCTTTAGATTAAAAAAGTTTCATCGACCATCATTGTTGACTTCCTTATGGTTCTTAGTTAAAATATTTTAAGGACTTTGTTTTCGTATTGTATGATAGTGTAAAACTCTAAAAAGTCTTACTAGTATACCGTAGACTCAATGTACGAGTTATTTTTACAGTAAAATATGCGTACAAAGATAAAGATCGGGATGGGGTTTTTAAATTTTCACTGTAAATTTATCAACCTGTAAAGTGGAAAATTGTTTAGGATGAATTAATGACTCATCAGTAAAATTGGAAATGAATCTTGCTAGGTTTCCAAACTGACTGAAACTTAAAATATAGCCTAATCTTTCCTACTTTGAAGATATTGTATTCATTACAAAACTTGTTAGTTATGAGTTAATTACTGTTTGGTGTTTTGGTTACACGATGCTCATAGATTCTGGAAACCGGGACAGTGTTGTTATTCAGTATCTTTCCATTTTTAAGTGGTTTTCCTCGACTGATGCAAATTCTTAAGGTAATCTGGCTTCAAATTATACAAAGTTTTTTTTACAAAGCTGATTAATTTGTTTATAATTTTCGATGCAGTCAGTTTCGTTTTTACAAATAACTTCGACTTCATTTTTCTAATTTTGGTTACAGATAATATGTCAGTTAAAACAAGTTACAACTCAAAATAATTACAAATCATCTGTCGTTCCAATCATTTTAAAGTTATTTGACAAAATTTCAACATTCCATGACATTAAATAACAAGTAATAGCTGGTTTCTACAGAAAAATTGCTCAAAAGTGATACGTTTACTGTGCCATTTGTGCAGTAATTGTAGTGGGCACACAATGAGGCGATCGAGAACCGATCAAAAGTCAGGATCATGGAGTCACATGGAGATTGATTTAACAAATAAAAGTAAGCAGTCTTTTATTGTACTTTTTTTCCAAAAAAGAATACGATTTTATCAACATAAGTTTTCTCAAAACATTTTGTTTCCACTAGATTTAATCTATATTTACATCTTGCCTTCGTTTGATTATAATCCAGATTTGTTTCAAGTGAATTTCTTCTAACTGAAATATATTTACAAAAAAAAACATAGATATCTACATTAGATAAGCAAACTTTCGTGGAATTGTTTCATTTTCCTGTTTGTAACTTTATTTGAGAGACAACAATCTATACTTATGGTTGCCTATGATTTGTATGATCAGGTGATCTACAACAGATATAGGTAGCAGTCACGTGTATAAATCTGTACTTAATTTATTAATTGCTTTTTTAAATAGTCGTGACGAAATATTTATTTTGTTACTTAACTCACTAATAATTTACTATCCAGAATAAATCGTTTACGTTTTGTGGTAGTTGTTAATGATAATTCATTTAAAATCCGTCCTTGTTTTATTGTTCTGAAGTCTACAGTTCATTATCAGTATAGAAATCGTAAATACTTTAAATCATTTTGAGAGATGTATTTACTATACAAAAAACACAACTATCACATGATAATCAGAAACATTTGTAGTTCACATCACTAACTGGTTTAATTAGATAATCAGTGAATACTAGGAAGCACTGGACTGCTATCTTTGTTCTGTGAGACTTCTCCGAAGTGTGTATCCACAATCTTACCGTGGATAGATCCAGGATTTTTAGGTCTCAGGATCATATCTTAACCTTTGAACTTCTGACGTTTCATCCATTAGTACTGTGACCAATGAAGTTCAACCATGTCGGGTGTGCAGTAATTATTCACTGAAGGCAGTGCGACTTGAATGAGTAATATCGTAAATGAGTAGAAGTTAGACAAGTACATAATTAGATTGAAGTCTAAATGTTAAGCACTCACCACGAAGTTTGAAGGTGATGGATTCGATCCTAAGTGGGGTCGTGAGTGAGAATTGTTCGAGAGTCCCATGCCAAAATGAAATAGCTGTCCAGTACTTCCCGGTTAGTCGTTAATACCATGATTATTTGGTTGTTATAGTTATGTTTTCTGTTTTCACAATTTGTGTAATTCACTTGATCGTATTTTATGGTTTTCATGTTAGATACCTAAAAATACATAAATTATGTAGAAATTGATGAATGTATGTATAATCTTAAGTTAAAACATGTATATTTTAGAAAATTTGTTTGCATGAAATAGTCTTGCTACCGTTTTTGTTGTTGAACCAACACAGTTATATCGAAACATTGTATAATTAAGTGATAATAATTTTCACAATGAACTGATATTGTGCACCTACAATCCCAGACAAGATTAACTCTAGGACGTTCTAATCTCAGAGACTGAATTTGATATGATAATATTATTGAGTTGATGTCAGTTCATTGTGCTCAGAATAACTTCTTATTAGTTGATTTTCCTTAAATCTATTAAGTTCCTTCTTAGTGTTAGTACAAGTAGGGAAAGATTAAAAAGGAAATGCTTTTAAAATGTACGATGGGATTTTAAATGCTCTATTTACCAACTTATACGTTTAGTCTAAAAAAAGTACAGTTGAAATCGTACAAGCGGTGTAAAAAAATGACAAAACTAAACTTAGAATAAAATAAAATAAAGCACGATAGACGTTATTGCTATTAACTCTTTAGGGTGGCTAATGCGTAGCATAAATGGGAGGAGGGCGAAAAAACAAATAATATCATATATATCGTTGTTTATTATGGTAGTTGGTTGATAGCTAATATAGTATGAGTTAAAGTTAAGAATTCTGTGCAACATTTCGCGATTGTTATTTGCTTAACTAATACACTTTATGAATGATATAATGTCCGACATATCAAAATGTCAGAATGTAATATTAATTGTTTAACTGAAAATGTTAGTATTTTTTGTGTCTAATTAATCAGACAATTATCTAATTTGTTCCTTTAAAATTAGGACCAGTGAACTGATTTAGTAGCAAAACTCATATATATATATATATATATATATATATATATATATATATATATATAATAGGCCTTTAGATTAAATTTACGCTAAGCTACAGACTAACTGTAATTGTAATCATTAAAAACACTGATAAGCATAAAAAGGCTATTTATTGCATTACATTTACTCAAAAAAGAAAGAAATCAATAAGAGTTACATGACACAAAAAATGTGATGTCTAGATGCTTGAAGTCTAAATACAAAAGTATTTGAGAAAAAAGATAAAATGATGTAAACCATAGAAAATAAAAACACCCTGTTTATTAACATCTTTTTCCTGGTTCTTGAAAGCAATCAAGGATACTTCAAAATTTTTTGGCATATTAAAAACTAGTATTAATAAATGAAGTATTTATTAGTTGTGTTTGAAAATTATTGACAAGATAATACAGAATACGATAAATGAAGACAAATGATCTAGTCTTGCCTACCACATAATGAATACTGACTAAATATAGTAAAATTACTTCTTAACTTGAAAATTAATGTAGAAATATTGTTTTAATGTATTATGTATTTCCTTGGTTACCTTGATTGTAAAGTTTCCATAGTCATTATAAACAATACCATTAACATCTACTTCAAATAGGCAATATAGATGTATTTCTATTTTTAGAAATTAGTTGATTAACCCTTATTGTTATGTTAACTATGAATTTCAGTAACTGAGTATGCACCTTGAGTAGTTGTTTTCTTAATCTAATCAATATTTTTCATTGAAATCATGAGTCGATCAATGTTAGACTATCATTGAAAATCTATGATGTTCTCCTTTAGGTTTTAACCTCTATTATAAATAAAAATACCATATTTGTAATATCTCAATGAGTAGGAAACTCAAATTTTCTAATATTTTGTGACTCAGTGTAAGCCACTTCTTCTGAGAATAAATGACCAAATTAAATTAATCCAAGTTTAAATAGTAAAAAGGAAGACAGCAAGAATATTAGTTGCCATCAATCAAAAACAGGTTTGGTCAGGTTAATTTTTATTTATAACAATCCACCCAATGCTCAGTTTATTTAAAATTATCAAATCAAACCTTGATAATAATATTTATTAACTTCTATTAGTGAACAAATACGAAAATCCAAGATGGTTTTTAAAATTCATCTGTCTTCTTTTCTAATAAAAAATTTTGAAGTTGGCTTATCAAATATATCCACAGAGGAATAATTCGAAGTAACATTATTTACTTGAAATATATTTTTCTTGTAACTAATTACAACATTCATTTCATATAGAATAATTGTTATTATTGATAAAAGTTTAATACAAGTTTATTGTATTGACATAGTCATAACTTACTGAAAAAATATTATTTATACTATAATGATATCGTTTGTATAACATGTGGTGGTGAGACTATAATTTATGGGCGACCTTTGACGACGTCGAGGTGACCTTGGGAATGCCCACCTACTTACTAGGGTTAAGTGAGAGTTATGAACTAGTGTAAAGAATAAGGATTATGATTTACAAATGATGGTTGGGGTTAGGAATTTAATTTATGGTTTTTATCACAAACTGATATAAGCTATAATGTCAAAACTCTATTTAGACAAATGAATGATTGAATTTCGTACCAAAATTCGAGACCTGTAATCCTAAATCTGATTGATTCGTGCATAATTTATAGTCTCGCTCATATGGTTATCGATATTCGCATTTATAGTTAAAATTCTTTAGTAATGAATGAATAGTTAAACTTATAAGTATTTCACTTAGAATTTATGCACATATATTGTTCTGTTTATTTGTGATTTGTTTCAATGGAAATAATAATCGTGTTAAAACAATATATTAAGCAATAAAATAATTTTCTCTCTTCTTTCTAGGTCATTCATTATAAGTAGTCATGCTTGAGGTCGTATACTAATAGCGTTTCATTCATATATATATATATATATATATATATATATATATATATGTATATAAGTAGACATATGTGCATGTTGGGATATTACGTATTATACAAGAGTTTTAGGAATAAGTTGCATTCTTTTGCTCTACCGATTTACTGCAATTTCCTGCTTATTTGTATGCTTAAATGCCTAACCAAGCGTTGAGCACTTGTAGTATATATATATATATATATATATATATATATATATATACATAATTATTTGTTGTCTTTCTATGAGTTCATGCATTTCTATTGGTTATGTCAGCTTGTTTATTTATCATATATTTTGGACAATCGTATGGGAATGAATTGTGTTTATCGTTTTCTAGTTTGTTTATTTTCTAATTTTTATACATTCATCTATTTTTAGCTTTAAGTAATCATGTATTTTTCAATGAATGTAGTTATGTCTTTACATATTGTCCTCTAAATAATGTCAGTTTGATACGAAATAAATTCTATACAAACAATCATATAAATCTCTATCAAATAAAGATTAATGACCGTATATTAAGAAGTGAATTTTCTGTAATTCTGATGTGAAACCTTAGTCTAAAAAACCATATAAGCGGAAGATAACCTAATTATACATCAATCAACAAAAATAACTCTATATATTATATATTGATCAAGTTTGATAATGATACCTATTCGATTTTAAACTCAGCATAATATTCATTTAGTGATCTGAAAGTCTTTAGTTCTATTTCATATAAGATTATGAATACACCTAATATCACTTTATCATGATATAAATTTCTAATTAATATTAATTAAACGATCATATTTTCCTGCTACAACATTTTTTTTAGTTTTTCAATAATTTTGAATTGTTTTGTACCTTACTATGTACATTTTTTAAAAAGTCTATTTCATTTTAGGCCATTGAATATCAAGAAATTATAATATAATATAGATTGTTTTCTTTTATATTAAGATATATATCATTTAGATGATCTAACTCAACAATTATAATTACATTGAAACATTTGAAGTTTTGTCAGATTGGCTATATAAAAAGCTTAATAATAAATACTATCTAAAGTTTTAAAGTAGGATTTCAAG